TGGGAGCTGCAGAACCTGGGCTTGGGACGGAGCGGAGGCAGCACATGGAACTAGGAGCTGGGGTCCCCACTTCCCAGGAAGGGAGCCTGCCCCAGACCCACCAACCCCCACTCCCAGCACCCACAGCACCCCCCAAGGCCGCAACGCCCCCTCAGCACCTGCGGTGCCTGCCTGAGCCACGACTTCCCCCCTTGCTCCCCCAAGCACCTGCGAGGCCCCCAGGCTGAGACTCCCTCCCCAGCACCCCCCAAGCCGCGCCCTCCCCCAAGTTTTGATCGGGGGGTATATAGTAAAAGTCATGGACAGGTCGTGGGCCGTGAATTTTTGTTTATTGCCCGTGACCTGTCTATGACTTTTACTGAAAATACCCATGACTAAAATGTACCTTTAGTCATGACTCCTGGGTTCGCGTCCCAGCTCTGTCATTGACGGACCCTGTGATCTCAAGCAAGTCATTTAAACCAGTGGTTCTCAACCAGGGCTACACACACATCAGCTCATCTAGATATCGGCCTAGTGTTACAGCAGGCTGCAAAAAAAAGCCCCAGCGAAGTCAGTACAAACTCAAATTTCATACAGACAATGCCTTGTTTAGACGGCTCAATATACTGCGCACTGAAACGTAAGTACAATCTTTATAGTCCAATTGATTTATTTTACAATTTTACGGCAGAAAGGAGACAGGCAGCATGTTTTCGGTAATAGTGCGCTGTGACACGTTGGTATGTGTGTGTCTGATTGTGTAAGCAAGTCGTTTTTAAGTGAGGTGAAACTTGGGGGAACGCAAGACAAATCGGACTCCTGAAAGGGGGACAGTCGTCTGGAAAGGTGGAGAACCACTGATTTAAACCTCTTGGTTTCTCCACTCCCCCCTACACAAAATGGGGATAATACTGCCACCTCTCAGAGATAAGGGATAGCACTACACCTTTGCAGTCGCAGCAGGGAGGCTTCCAACAGGCTAGTTAGTGAGTGCCAGCGGTGACACCAGTTTGCCCTGTGGACACCTGTTCACTAAGAACTGGACTAGGACCAACAACATATTGAAGTGATTTCACTCAGGCCACTAAACTGCCATCCCTGCGAAGACAGCAGTCCCTTGAGGCAGCCCGTCCTCCAGAAATATAGTTCTTTGAAACACGCCACACATCGTTCACCTGTGGAACTCACTGCTTCAGGACAGAGACAAATAGTAAGATTCAAAATAATGATGAGACACGCATCTCACAGAACAAAAAGTCAGTAAGGCACGATTAACACTTTAACCGTGTCATGCCCTTACTTAAGAGAACATTTGAGTTGAGAATTTAAACATAAATTATTAGGCAATTCTAAGATGAAGGGATAAGACAAGGTCAAATTTCACCCAAAGTTTATAAGCTTTGTAAAAAAACAACCACAATCTCAAATGCTACAGTATTTTTTATTAAATGTAAAAATAAAATAAAAGAGAGACCACCTACAAGCAAAACTCCTTTTCAGCATTTGCAAAGTAACACCGTGGTGTCATGCAGGCGCCTTGGGGCTCGGAAATTATGAGAAAGGGGGAGGTGGAAGTGAAACGGATGATCCTGTTTTGCTAATCAAACCGATGAGAAATGCCAAGTGTGAGCAGCTGGCATAAGAGAAGCAAATTAAAATTTTAAATCATTTCCATGTTCATTATCTCACCTGTTGTTAGTAGAATAGGAAAGGCCGTTCGTTTATTAAAAACATTTGGATTTTTATCCTGACCAGCATTTCAGCATCAGTTTTAACTCCACCATTGGTGCCCCTGCCAATGTTGGCATACGGTACATATCCGACACGGCCCTGGGTCCTCACCCATCCCCCTCTTACAGGTCTGAGTCTTTCCCAGACCCCGCTCACTTCTAAATACGGGTCAGAGACTCCCTCACAACCTCACCCAACAGTTTATACCAGCAGAAACCCCCCAACCATCTTGCAATGGGCCTGGAAGGTCAGTGGATTATATCACCACGTGACAAGTTAGGGCTATATTCATGTGTATTGCATGGAAGCAAAGTTAGTCTCTGGAGAAGCGAGCATTTCCTGTCTGTATGCGGAAGGCTGGTAGGGGACATGTGGGTCTATGAACTGTACTGCAAAGTTATGCGTGAAATAGGTTGCGGGGGGTCTGTCTCCGGCTACTTCAAGAGAGTGGATGGTTACAGGACAGCAGCACAGGGGGCAGAGTTAAGGTTAATCTGGGAACGACAACTGCATGAACACTGCTGGCTCTGCATCCCACTAGATTTAGACTAAGGTCCCCTTGTATTTCTAAGGACCACAAAATCTTTTGCATGAAGTCCCCGGTGTCGTTTCAGAGCAAGCGGAGCATTTAAGGGGCCTGGGTTTCATGGGTATTTAGTGAGCGCGGTTCCTGAGCTCAGAGAGAAGCGGGCGTGGTTCCCAAGGAGCTGCAGTGTAAGTGAGACACAGACAGTCTTGTATGTGCAAGCAGGCAGAAGGCTGTGCAGTGGCTGAGGAGCGTGCCTGCGTCTGGCTGATTAACAGCAAGAGCGAACAAGCCCTGACAGGTGCTGGCTTCATGGACTCGTACACCAGAACCAACTTCGGCGGAAGATTTGGACACGGAGACGGAAGCGGCCTGGTGAGTCCCACAGGAGAAGGAGGAGATCCAAGGGGTAGCGGCCTGGAAGAAGGTGGGAAGAGATGGGCGGGCAGGAGCTGAGAACAAGGATGGAGGGAGGAGAGGGTGTTGCCGTGTGGGGACTCGGAGGGGAGGCAGCCACTGAAGCAGATGGCAAAGTGAACATAGAGGCCGAGGGGTGCGGCTCACGTGATGGGAGTGGAGGAGGCATCCAGGCTGGGCACAGGGAGCTTTTCAGCAGCAACTGGGCGAGGAGGCAGAGGGAAAAGTTCAGATCAGGCGTCCCCACCTGAAATGTGACAGGGGGACATCCTGGAGGGGGATGAGAGGGGAGTGTGAGCACAGACTGGGAGGCGAAGACGCTTATTTGGGGCTGAACTGCTGAAGCCTGCTGTTCGAACCAGAACGATCTGAGGTCTGGGAAACCGGCCTTACAGCGACAGGCTAGAGACGCTCAGTCTATTTCATTCACCCAAGACAAGGCGAAGAGGTGACAACGACGGTAGGGGGAAGACATTTGCTAGCAGAGGGCTTGGCTGTCTAGCCGGCCTTGATTCTGCAGCCTGCATTAACCACGCACCAGCCACAGAACGCTGAGGCTCTTCGACTCACTGTCTGTGCTAAATGAGCCACAAACACACCCAGATAAGACACACCCGAGAGCCTCTCTCCTCTCACTCCTAGCAACAAGCAGACCACGCGGTCTCAGCGCCAAGGGGAGTCCGGTCCAATGGTCAGAATATGGACCTGGGCGCCAGGACTCCTGGGTTCTATCCCCACCTCTCGGAGCGGACCTGGTTTCACTCCCAACTCTGCCACGGATTCTCTGTGTGACACTCTGCCGGTCACATCACCCGCCCTGCAACTCGGTTTCTCCACCTGCCAAATAGGGATAACACTTCCCTAGCTCACCGACGTGCCTGTAACATGCACCGAGATCCTCAGTTGGAAGTCACTAGAGCAGACCCATGCATTATACACACCAGGGTTAAATACACAAACATCCGATATTGATCTTGGGGGTGTGGGGCTCATCTTATAGGCTGGCCACTGGGCTGACTCCATGGGGGAAAGATCTTCTATCCTCTCTGCATTCACTCCAGCTTTCCTGCTCTGCTGCAGGGCCGTGATCACAGGGCTGGGGGTACAGCCGGGGCACCCCGTGAAGAAAGAAAAGGCAGCTCCCGGGCCACCCCGGGAAAGAGCACGTCTTCCCTCTCTGCATACGGGAGCTTTTTAGTACAACGTCTGCCTGGAGTAGGAGCCGCCTGGAGAATGCCCCAGTGCACTGAGCCACTCCTCACTTCATCCGCCAGTCCAACACACACTGTGCGAGCAGGGGAACGCAGGGGCCCCCGCACCCTTTGCTTCCCAACAGGGGCGCCTTTCCTCCCTCCACACAGGCTTCCCCTCCCAGCGGACACCGAGGGCTGGGGAAGGGATCCTAGAACCGTTGCCAGCCAGGAGGCAGGGCTGGCCCCTTTCCAGAGAGCTGCAAACGCACCGTTTGCCTGCGCCTATTGGAATCTGCGTCAGCTGATGCCCTAGGCCCCAGTGTGCTGCAGCTGCCCGACCCCTCCACAGAACGTCACAGTCCCTGGAGGATATCAAGCCTCGGAGAAAGGCCGGCATTGCTGGAAGAAGATTTCTGTGGCAACCGCATGCCAGGTTTTCCAAAGGGCTCAGCGCTGGCCTAATTCCGCTCTCACTGAAGTCAATGAGACTCCCATTGGCGTCTACGGGAGCTGGGATAGGCTAACGCGGAGGGGTTTTGAAAAGCCCCAACCCGACAGCTTCTTCAAGAAGTGCAAGCTGCAGAAAACCCGGCTGCCCGCAAAGAAGTCGTGACGTTGGCTAAGGAGACTCACCCCCACTGATCCAACGACCCAGCTCCGGCCGGCTTCCAAAGAAACCTTTAATGCTTTTTGTATTTAGAGATTAAAAAAAAAAAAGTCAAATTAAGCCTATGCACTACTTGGCATTGAAACCTAAAGACACGTTCAAAGGGGATCCAAACAGGGCCGGGAGCGGAATGGGTCTTTTTACTTCACTAGCATCTGCAGATCACTGCAGCTAAGGGAAAAAAATGACCTGTCAGTGCTTCAGGCCACGAATTGAGGGAATCAGGAATAAATTTCTTCCCATGATTCAGTGTTGCTCTATATTCACAGAGTTCAAGGCCCGATGGGGCCATTAGATCAGCCTGCCCTCCTGTGTAACCCAGGCTGTGACATTTCCCCCCATTTCCCCGGGGCTGAGCAAGTAACTTGCATCTGACATAAGTGTATCTTCCCAAAAGGCCTCCCTCCAGGTTTGATGTGAAGACAGCAAGAGCTGGAGAATTCACCATTTATTAAAGATGACGTTAGGACCCTGTATTTCCTCCCCACGGATACCCTTATACGCTGTAATCAAGTCACCTCTTAATCTTCTTTTGGACAAGCCAAACGGACTGAGCTCTTTCGGTCTCACTGTGAGGCATTTTCTCCAGCCCTCGAACCACTTCTGTGGCTCTTCTCTGCCCCCGCTGCAATTTTTCAACATTCTTTTTAAAACGCAGACGCTAGACCTGGACGTGGTAGTCCAGTATTTTGCCATCGACAGAGGTAAAATCACCTCCTTTCGCCTATTCCCCACCCGGCCTTTATGCATCCCAGGCCCACGTTAGCCCTTTTGTCACAGGATGGCACTGGGGGCTCACGTTGAGTAGCTTGCCCACTTCCACAGACACTGCGTTCCAGGATGCAGTCCCCCATTCTGTGCCTACATCCCACGTTCTTTGTTTCTAGGGGTAGAACTTTGCATTGGTCTGTATCAAAACACATATACAGAGTTGGGTTCTCATGCTGCACCCATCACCATGGTATCGGCACGCCAGAAATACATCGTATGGTCCTTTTCGTCTTCCTCTAAAGCACACGGCATGCCAGATGAACCACTGGTTGACTCAAATATGGGCATCTCTACCTTCCTAGAGCTATAACTCCCCCCGTCCCCCGCAGATATCATCCTTGTATTGAGGGATAGCCGACGAAAGCTATAACTCAGGCAAATTTGGGATACAGTGTCCAGTGGGCACAGCTAAAGAAGCATCCAATCACACTAACCAGGCCCTCCAGCACAGAATCAGAGACCCCTAGGGTTAGAAGGGACCGCAAAGGTCATCCGGTCTAACCCTCTGCCAGGAGGCAAGATAAACCACCCAAGACAGATGGCTACCCAGCCTCTTTTCGAAAACCTCCAGTGAAGGAGATTCCCCGACCTCCCTAGGCGTCTGTCCCATTGTCCTCCTGGTCTTACAATTAGCAAGAGTTTCCTGAGATTTAATCTAAATCTGATTCCTGGTAGCTGTGTCTACAGGCAAACAGTCCAAAAAGGAGAATATACTAATAGTAACAGCGCAACACGAGTTCAGGCAGGGACAATAGTAGCCAGGTATGGCCCTCATACACTGCAAGCCAGTTGGTGCTGTTGGTTTCCTCCATCTATGATACATGGACGTCTTCCATCTTTAACGAGGAGGCACATCCTATGGACACTGCTTGCCCCGCGTCCAGTGCCTGGCCCCGTTGCATGCAGGGCTCCGTAGTTTCGACAGTATGCACACAGATACTAAAGCTGGGGCCAGCTTCAGTGCGCACCAGCTAATGCAAATTAGATTTGGCGCGTGGGATCCTGGCAGATTGCTAGTGCAAGCGTTGGCAGGGGAAAGGTTGGCTGCCCCCACGTCACAGGGTGCGCTGATGAGTGCTCAGAACGAACGGGGCGCACCAGACCACCGGGGCAGCAAAAGCTCGTTTCGTTCGGCGAGCCGTGATTTGATCGTGGCGAAACCCGCCCGACGCACTCGGAGAGGGAAGTTCTCCATTCAGCCACCCACCAGGTACAGCCAGGACAACAGCCCCAAACCAGTATGTCTAACTCCCGACACCCGCCCCAGGAGGCTTTCACGGCCCACTCTCTTGGGAGTTCTAACGAGGGGGCCACCCCGGTTTTGTTTCCTAGGAGTTGGGCTGAGACCAGTGTCATATACCAGGTGATAACTTACAGCTCCTCCTGTCCTCCTGACACCAGCCAGGTCAGAACTGGCCTGCTAGAGATCCAGGAACGAGACAATGGCTCATTACCAGTGACTCTCAATCTCTCCAGACGACTGTCCCCCTTTCAGGAGTCTGTTTTGTCTCGCGTACCCCAAGTTTCACCTCCCTTCAAAACGACTTGGTTACAAAATCAGACAAAAATACAAGCGACCCAACGCACTATTACTGACAAATTGTTGACTTTCTCATTTACCATATAACTGTAAATAAACCAATCGGACTATAAACATTGTACTTACATTTCAGTGTAGAGGATATCGAGCAGTCTAAACAAGTCAGTGTCTGGATGAAATTGGAGTTTGTACTGACTTCGCTGGTGCCTTTTTTGCAGCCTGTGGTCAAACTAGGCCAATATCTAGATGAGTCAATGTACCCCCTGGAAGACCCTTGCGTACCACTGTCCTAAGCCACCCAATTCCCCCAGCTCCCACATTTGCACTTGACCAATTCCCTCTCCATCTTTCCACCCTCGTCCTCCAGGGACAGCGGCCTTTGGAGGGTTCCCCCTCCAGGGCTGGGAATCAGCTGCTGCTGCGACCTGGACTCATGGAAGCCCAGGCTCTGTGGAATTGTCCCTGGTAACTACTGGCTCCTACCTGTTTAGATTACAGACAACAATGGAAGGTTGGTCTTAGCCCTCCTGGCTGCAGGGAAGAACACTGATTTACCGGGGCAGAGCAAAGCCACCCTCCCTTCTGCCTCGCGGATCAGCTGCGAAACTGCCCCCAGCTCAGTCCTGAGGGCAGACCAGCGGCCGGAAAAAACCCAGCCTGGGACTCCGGACCTGGCTGGAGCGCGCGGCACCGCAGAGCAAGAACCACTTTCCCCTTTGCACTTCCAAGCGCAGACCTGCTCAGGGAAGCCACCGGTGGGAATGACCAGTTGCTTTCCCGGCCACACCTGCACATCCGAGCGCCCCACCCAGCGTGCCATCCACGGTCCCACATAGCTTGGCACTGTCTGAACCTAGGGTCACTGTAGGGCTGGTGTGACGACATACTGTGCGCTGGCAGTGGGGACTGAACCCTGGATCGTCAGCACCAAAAGTACAGACCTCCGATGCTCGTGCTAAGGAATCCTGCTGCCAGCGGTAGAAGGCTCTCACCACTTAGGTAGGCCCAGCCACTTTAAGCTGGTGCATTACAGCAAGGGGAATAAAGGGAGTCCAGGATACATCTGTAAGGAGAACTACACTCCCCTGTGACCCGCCCCCCCAATTCCCCAAGCCCCCTGTGAGCTCTGCTTCTCTCCCCACTGCCGCCTGCACTCGCCCACCCAATGCCCAAGTGATCTACCCCTGTATGGCGTGCCCTAAAATACCCCCTCCTTTTAGACCCACTGGCCCCGTAACACCCCTGTGTGGCCTGTCCCCATGCTCCTCCAGGCTCCCTCTGAACTTGTCCTTTGCCCCCTCTGCCCTTCCCCCCAATACCTCCTGCATTTGCCCCCAGAGCCCCATGATGTGCCCCCTCCCCCAAGCCTCCTGTATGACCTACCCCTCCCTTCCCCCATGACCTGCCCCTTCCCCCAATGCTCCCTACATGACCTGCCGCTCCTCCTGAATTTGCCCTGCCCCGTGCATTTGCCTCCTGGCCCCATAGCCTATCCCTCTGCATTGGTCCCCAGCACCCCATGCCCTGCCCACTCCCCCTGCATTACCCCCCAGCACCCCATGCCTTGCCCGCTCCCCCTGCACTGGCCTCCAGCCCCCATGTTCTGTCCCCCCCACATTAACCCTCAGCCCCCTATGTCCTGCCCCTGCATTGGCCCCCAACGCCCTGGCCCTCCAACCCCCCATGCCCTGCCCCTCTCCCCCTGCATTAGCTCCCAGCCCTCTATGCCCTGCCCCTCTGCATTGGCCCCCATGCCCTGCCCCCTTCCCCTGCACTGGCCCCCAGCCCCCCCGTGCTGTCCCGCCCCACATTAACCCTCAGCCACCTGTGCCCGGCCCCTGCATTAGCCCCCCCAAGCCTTGTTCCCCTCTCTCTGCACTGGCCCCCCATGCCCTGCCCCTGCATTAGCCCCCCACCTCCCATGCCCTGCCCTCTCCCCCTGCATTAGCCCCCCGCCCTGCCCCATGCCCTGTCCTCCTCCCCCTGCATTAGCCCCCCGCCCTG